TGGGAGAGGAGCCCGGGGGAGAGGGGAGGGGAGGGGGAGGGGGCAAGAGAGAGAGGGGGAGCCCGGGATCTTCTCGCCTATTTCATTGTTCCCCCATCTTCAGGGAGCGGGGGCAGCGGCTCCTCCAGGCGGCGGGCACCGGCGTCTTCAGAGCGCCATGCGAGCCGCGGAGCGAGTGTGGCATCTCTACCAGGCGGGGTACCAGCCTCTATGCCAGGCCATATGGGCTTGGCACGTCACGGGCAGCAGCTATCACATGAGAGACGGTGATTGGCATGCGTCTGCATTGGGGGAGAGCCGGCTCCCCCGGGACCCGCCGCCATCTGTCATAAAAAAAAAAAAAAAAAAAAAAAAAATTAAATAAATAAAGGAAATAAATAAATATCTCTGCTGCCCTCCCCTCTCCGCCCAAAGCTGGGAAAGCAGGGATTGAGAGGGAGGGGGAGGAATTGCCCCCCCGGATATAGAGCCCCCACATGGGAACAATGGGGTGGCAAGACTGGACATTGGGGGGTTGTGGTCGCCCCAAATTCCATGCTCCCTCCGGGGTCCTGCTCTGCCCATTTTTCCCTTGCAGCCCCCATAGGTGGGTCAGGGACCAGACCCCTAAGTCCCGAGAAGGGACTTCTGTGCTCACCACCCCCAGGAGAACCCCCTTGGCTACAAAGGGACAGCTGAGGCCCCTCCCAGGGTGGCTGTGGGGGGCGTCCCTGGCCCAAGCCCCATAGGTAGATGTTGGCACCATGCCATCCCTCATCCCTGTCTGCCCCTCCCCCACCCACCCTCACGCACACACAACATATGTGGCTGAACGAAATTCAAACCAAGGGAAAGACAGAGAAAAGGGAAGACTTGCCTGGGTGTCTGAGCCGCTGCATGGGCGTGTGTGTGTGTCTGTGGGGACATGTGTATATATCTGAGGAGTCAGCTGATGGAGAGGTTCCCTTGTGTGTCTGGGGGCATATTCTGTTGGGGTGGAGTAGCCAGGATTCCCTGGGATGAGCCTCTGCACCCACCATCTGGGGGTGGGGGAGAGGGTCTCGGTCTGGATTCCTAACCCAGAAACCCCTCCCTCCTCACCCGCCAACAGCCCCTCCCCCGGCTAGACTAGCGACATCCCACCAGATCTTCCTCTCCTGGCCTTCTGACTCCCTCATTGGAGAGGGGGAGGGGGCTGGCCTGGAAATTGCCTAAAGTTCTTGGAGGAGACTCAGGCCTTCTCCTCCCCCTGCAAAAAGTAAAAAATGAAAACACACTGAAAGTGCAGAAGCCAAGTCCAGCAGTTCTGAGTGACCAAGGGCAGGTGGGTCAGACAGGTGGGTGTCTTGATGAGAAAGGTAGGAAATTGCTGTTTTATCTTACAGCTCACCTTTCACCCAACCCTCTCACTGGCTCGCACTGGGCCAGACTCAGATGCAAATGGCATGGGTTGAGGGAGGTAACTTTAGACACACACACACACACACACACACACACACACACACACACACACCTGTTCCTCACTCTTCGGTGCAGAAAATGGATACACACCCCTGTGTGTGAGCAGGCAACCAGAGCCAGGTGTAGAGAGACCCTTGCCCACGCTCTGGTTCAGGCGTTTGTGTGTTTCAGCCCCACATTTCCTGTCCCTCTCCCCACCCTCCAGATTACACACTCCCAGGCGATTTCAATTCTACATTAAGCAGCCATGTGCCAGGCACTGTGTGGTGCAAAGATGGGACTTCACCCTCAATCTGGACAGATTTCGTTTCCTCCCTCTAGGAGCCCCCGGAGGGGCTCTTGGGCTGCTAGGACCCTGATCTGATGTTTGGTAGAATGAGTTTGGTTCTAAAAAGAGGCACATACATTGGGGAAGGAGGCCTTGGAGAAGGAGGAGGGGCTGGTGCTGTCCGAGGCTCTCTAGGCACTTGGTGGGAACCATAAGGAGCCTCAGAAAGAACAGGCCTGCTCAGCTGGCGGGGCTCAGTGGTTGAGCATCGACCTATGAACCAGGAGGTCACGATTCAGTTCAATTCCCCATCAGGGCACATGTGCGGGTTGTGGGCTTAATCCCCGGTGTGGGGCATACAGGAGGCAGCCGATCAATGATTCTCTCCCATCATTGATGTTTCTTTTTTAAAAAACTATATATTTTTTTTAATTTCAGAGAGGAGAGGAAGAGATAGATAGAAACATGCTCCTGCACACTCCCTACTGGGAATCAAGCCCACAACCTGGACATGTGCCCTTGACCGGAATTGAACCTAGGACCCTTCAGTCCGCAGGCCAACACTCTATCCACTGAGCCAAACTGGCTAGGGCCCATTCTCTTCCTCTCCCTTCCTTTCTGAAATCAATAAAAATAAATATTTTTAAAATCCCAATTGAATAATAACAATAAACAAGTCCCAACTCCTCCTTCCGGAGGCCCATGGAGGGGGAGCTGACCTGCCTAGGAGCACACAGGTGGAGAGAAGTTGGGGCTCCTTCTACATCCCCACACTCTGCCTCCGTGGTCTCCCGCGTGAGAGCTGATGGTGAGCTTCCTCCGTTCGTGGGTTGTGGGTCTGGAACTAGGATGGGCCTTGGGAGGGGCAGAGGCTCAAGTATGCTGGCCAGGACCCTGTCCAAGTTTGGGAACAGCCTCAAGAGCTTTCCGGCCCCTTTACTGAGGGCGGAGTCTCCAATCCTGACACATGGCCCTTGGGGGGGGGGGGCACAGTTGTATGGCATTTCGGTTACCTGCACATGCTTTGGGCTCGGATTCCTGGCCAACCCCACTTTTCCCAGCTTTAAAGAAGGCAGAGTGCCTTGAGCAAGTTCCATAATATCTCACAGCCTTGATTTTCCCGTCTATAAAATGGGGATAATGATGCCACACCTGCTAGAGCTTGGTTAGTGTTAAATGGGATGATGCATGTAATGAGGTTAGCACAGGGCCAGCAATACCGTGAGCCTCAGGAAATGCCCGCGCTCATGTTTATTAGAGCACCTTGTAATCGGTAAATGCTTTACAATGTTAGTTTCGTGCACATACCCCCCCCCACACACACACACGTGGAATGCTTCATAGGATGCGTTTAGAATGGCCATATAGGAATGGGTTTTTGTTGAATTAATGGGTGAATGAATGGATGAGTAAGCGAATGAATGCTTTCTTGGGGTAGAAAGATATCCAGTGCCCCCTCCTTTGGACACTGAGGTGGGGTCTCCCTCCCAGGCCCCTCCCAGCTCCAGGCAGGAGGCAGGAGGCAGGGGCAGCGGGCAGGGGGCAGAACCTGGCTTGGGATAGGGGAGCCCCCAGCAGGTGCTCTGTCCTCCGTCAGGACCCGCGGTCCTCGGAGAAGAGGCCTGAGGATGGGGGTGCC